CGTGGCCGCCCCACTGCCTGCGGCGGCGGCCTCCCGGCTTTCGCCCCCGCCCCCCGCGGACCTTCCGCCCACGCTCCCCTCCCCCTGACGCACCTACCCCGGCCGGTCCCCACCGCTCCCGCCCCTCCTCGGCCACGCTCTGGCCACAGCCCGCGCCCCTCGTCGGTCCCCCCCCCACCGCGGTACTCCCGGCTCACCCTCCGGCGGTCGCCCCGGCCCCTCGCCCGCGCGGGCTGCACGTCGGCGGCCGTTTCGGTTGTGCCCCCGCCACTGCTCGAAGACCCTTCCGGCCCGCCCCTGGCGGCCCTGGCCCGGCGGCCCCTTTAGCCCTACGTTGGGCGGCCGCCCTCCACCTCCCCGCCGGCCCTGCATGGCTCCTCCGCTTCCCGACCGCCGGACATGCCCGCCTTCTCCCTGCCCGTCTGGTGGCCCCGTGGCCGCCGCCGCTGCCGCGTGGGCGCCCGCCGCGGCATGCGGCCTCTCCCTCCGTCGCCCGCCACCGGCCCCGGCTTCCCCCGTTGTTTGAGGCCGCCAGCGCCCTTGGTGCCTCCCTGGCCCGCTCCGTTCTCCGTCTCCGCATGCCCCTGCCGCTGGCACCGGATGCCGGCCGCCCCGGGCTACACCCCTTGCTGGCTGCATGACCCCCATCTCTGACTTGCGGTCTCTGGCTCCCCGGAGCTCTGGTCGCGCGCCTTTTCGACCCGGCAGCCGCGCTCGCCCTGCTCCCCTTAGCGCCATGCTGCCTCCCTTGCTTTTAGCCCGCGGCCGCCCCCCTTTTCGCTCCCTTCTCCACAGTGGTGCTCCTTGGCTCCCTACCCCGCCGACCGGGGCCCCACACGACCTCTTCCCGCGTTCTTCTTCGCCCCCGGTTCCCCCCGCTGCCTGGCCCCTCCAGCGGCGCTTGCTTCGTGCTGGCTGACCCTCGGCACCTCGGGACGCCCCCGTCACCCACGCGGCTGGCGTGTTCGCACCCCACGCCCTCTGCCCCGGACTTCGCAGCCCCTCGCCTTCTGGCACCTCCACCGCCGGCCGCGTTCTGGCCCGCCTTTCCCCGTGCCCGTGCCGGCACGGCCCCCTTACGGCTGTCTGACCTTTTCTCTTTGGACCGCGCCTACCTGCCCGTTCCATGGCCTTTGACCTCCTCTTCCCGTGCCCACGTCCTCCGATGGGGCCGGCCGTTGCGCTGGCCATGCCGCCCTCGCGGCCCCCCTCCCGCCCTTGCTTCGCCTGGCGCCTGCGCTCCATCTCCTCGCTGCCGACTGCGCAGCTCAGGTGCTTCGCTGCACTTCTGGGCCCTCCCTGTGCGCCCGCACCCTTGGGCACTGCCCGCCCGCCGCTTCTGGCCTCGCCGTTCCGACCCGCCCGCTATCTCGAGTTGCTCACGACCCCGTGTACCATCTCTCGGGGCGTAGATGCGCGCGACTGCCCTCTCACACGTTTTTGCCGCCTACGATCGCCTCTGTTTCCCGGACCCTCCTTGGCGACCTGGGCCTGCTGCAGCGGTGTCCGTACGCCTGCCCCCGTCTGCCCGTGGCCCTCTCCCTGTCGGCCCAGCCCTCCGGATCCCCTCCCTCCCCCTGGCGCCTTGACCGACCCCGTTCCCCGCTCGTCGACCTCTTGTGCGTCTTGCCCCGTTAGCTCGGGGCTCCCGCCAGGCCCTTGGTGTGATCCGAGCTTCATTGTCCCAAAGAAGGATGGACGAGTACGCTTCATCACGGACTATCGTGAGTTGAACAAGCGTATAAGACGGAAGCCGTGGCCAATGCCACACATCACGGACCTGATCCAGGACGTTGGTCCGTACACGTATGTGACAGCTTTGGATTTGAGTATGGGATACTACCACTTCCGTTTGGATGATGAACTGAGCGACATGTCAACGTTTATGCTACCCTTTGGACTTTACAAGTATCGGCGACTGCCGATGGGACTGAGCATAAGCCCTGATGTTTTCCAGGAACGAATGGCAAAGCTTTTTGCGGATATTCCTTTCGTACGTGTTTACATTGACGACCTGTTGATATTCTCCAACGGAACCTATGAGGACCACTTGGAGAAAGTTCGATTGGCTTTGAAGCGATTGAAGTCAAAGAACTTGGCGGTGAATGCCCTCAAGTCGTACTGGGCAGTGCAGGAAGTCGACTACTTAGGATTCCGCTTGACCCGAGAAGGAGCCAAGCCACAGGCAAAGAAGGTTTCGGCCATTATGAATATGGAGAGACCGAAGAACAAGCGAGAGCTACGAAGATTTATAGGATTGGTGAACTACTACCGATTCATGTGGAGATATCGCAGTCATGTGCTATCCCCATTGACTGAGCTGATCAGTAAGAACATGCCATTTCGATGGACTGACCGGCAACAAGTAGCTTTTGATGAGATGAAACGAATAGTCAGCAAGGAAGTTCTCTTGTCCTTTCCGGACTACAGTGAACGCTTCCAGCTCTACACCGATGCATCAGACAAGCAGATCGGTGCAGTGCTCAAGCAAGGAAAGAAGACATTGGCCTTCTTTTCGAAGAAGCTGACTGGCCCACAGAAGAACTATGGGGTCGGAGAAAAGGAAATGCTGTCGATTGTGGAAGCATTGAAAGAGTTTCGAACGATGGTCTATGGCTATCCCATCGATATCTATACCGACCACAAGAACTGGGCTTACGACAAGACCTGCGCAATGCTCGAGTGATGCGCTGGCGTCTTTTGCTCCAAGACTATGCACCAACCATCCACTACATCAAGGGAGAAAAGAATGTGGTGGCAGATGCACTGTCTAGGATTCCATCTTCTGGAAGTGAAAAGGAGATGACCGAGGAAGAAGCTTTCGCGCTGGTGGAGGAAGCTTTCGAGATGACTCCTCGAACATGGAGGCAATTCTATCAGCCTCTAACGATTGCTGAAATTGGGCGAGCACAGAAGAATGACAAATATGTGCAAACCCTCAGGCAGCAAGCACCAGACCGTCTTGGTGAGTTCTTCGAAGACATCGGAAGAAAGAGCGGACCTGACAGGGTCATCACTGAGACAGATGTGGTAGATGGAGACCACCGCATCATTGTGCCGGCGGCATTGACTCAACGATTGATGGAGTGGTATCACACCACTCTAGTTCATCCCGGAGTGAACCGTCTGTACAATACTTTACGACAACATTACACGTGGCCGAAGATGTTAGAACAGATTCGGACCTACATTAGGAGCTGTCATGCATGTCAACTAGGTAAGCGAGGAATGCGAGGTTACGGTAAGATTCCATTGAAAGATACAGAGACCGAGCCATGGAAGGACGTGGCAGTGGACCTTTCCGGACCGTGGAAAGCAACGGTGGACAACAAGGAAGTAATCTTTCATACCCTTACGATCATTGATGTTTTCACTGGATGGCCCGAGATCATTCCAATCACGACCAAGAAGAGTGAGACGATTGCGGATCTATTCATTCAGGAGTGGCTACGACGGTATCCACGACCAAGCCGAGTTATCTTTGATCAAGGTGGCGAGTTTGACTGTAGAAGTTTTCATGCTACATGTACCCGATGGTTCGTTAAGCCAGAACCAATCACTGCGAAGAATCCAAGAGCGAATGCCATTGTGGAGCGAATGCACAAAGTCTTAGGAGACATGCTTCGTGTCCAGATTGCAACCAAGCACCTCAAGGAAGATCCCATCAAGGATCTGACAAGTGCGGCGGCCTATGCTATGAGAGCAACTGTCCATGGAGTGACCAAGTATTCACCATCTCAACTGGTTTACCAGAGAGATATGATTCTGAGGACTAAGATGGAGGCGGACGTCGAACGTGTTCGACAACGCAGAGAAGCAGCGATCCAAGTGAACAACACTCGAGAAAACCGAAGAAGGATTGCCCATAACTACAAGAAGGGTGATCACGTTCTGATTAAGAGCAGTTCGATGGATCCGAAGATGCAACTCAACGTTGGCCCTTTCAAGGTGGTGAGTTTCAACAAAGCATCAGGAACTCTTCATATTCAGCGAAGGAACTACATCGAGCCCATCAACATTCGATTAGTGCGACCATACTTTGGAAGCACGACTCGCTGGGCTATTGCAGAGCCCCTACATGCTGGTGGCGACTGTCGAGGATAGGCACCAGTGCTATTAGTACGTTTTCTTAATCTTAAATTAGCTCACAATTTGTGCACCTGGACAGAGCATTCCGGTCTGATCTCGGCACTGTTCAGGAAGCGATCCGATCCGGAGTCACTTCTAAACGAGCCAGAGCACTGGATAAACATTGGGAAAGATGGGATGCCTTCTGCGTCGACCACAGCATCGATCCCTTCCTGCGATCCGTCTACGATCCAGTCCCTATCCTCCAAGTCTTCGGCCAACGCTACCGCGACGGCAGGGTTGCACCCAGCGGTGGACCCGTCCGGTCTCGAACAGTGGAGGACGCACTTAGAGCCGTGGGGCAGACGTTTGCCAGGTTGGGGGCCACGGACATCCGGCGAGACACAACAGGACGAATAGACTTCCGCATCCAGAGGCAGTTGCGTGCCTACAAAAAACGCGACACACCGCCTCAACGAGTCAAGCCACTACCTATCACCGTGGTTATCTATTTACTCGAACAGGCCTACAACAACAATCAACACGAGGATCGACGGGTGATTGCGGACATTGTCACCGTCGCCTTCTTCTTTCTCCTTCGTCCAGGAGAATACACCGGGACCACCACCGATGACACGCCATTTGCCCTACAGGACGTGGCAGTGTATCTCGGGGACCGCCGTCTCGATTCCATGACAGCACCACTAGCTGAAATCGAAGCCGCTACCACGGTAGCCTACAATTTTACCACACAAAAGAATGGCCAGACCAACGAAGTTCTCACGCATGGGCGCAGTGGGCATCACTTGTGCTGCCCAGTCAGAGCCACTGTCCGGCTGATCGCGTACCACAGAACGCAATTCAATGCCGCCAATCAACCACGATCAACCGCTACGACGCCCATTGCCTCCTACTACCGGAACAACCGACGTGTTCCGGTCAAAGCCAAAGACATTACCGACGTCCTCCGTACGTCGTGCACAATCCTACAACACCGAACAGGCATCCCAGCCACGGATATCAGTGCTAGATCTCTTCGCGCGGGAGGCGCTATGGCCCTCCTCTGCGGCAAAGTCGACAGCGATATCATCAGGATGCTTGGTCGGTGGCATAGCGATTCCATGATGCGCTACCTCCACCTACAGGCTCAGCCCATCATGCGACAATTTGCATCCGTCATGTTCAACAATGGCACCTACACATTCCTCCCCGAAGAGTCAGTGCCAATCCAGGAATACGACGATGCGACCTAACAACAACAAACGCTACTACGGGGGTCGCCCTACCGCACCGCAATCCTCCGTTAAATCTTCTCGCACCTCCGGCACTCGCCCCTTAAATCCAGTACCGTTCCGCGAACACACATCCAATTCGCCTCACTTTTTCGTCCAATTTCAGCACTCCAACGAACCAACACACTCCATCAACGACCGACGCCCATATCACCGTCCTATTACTACAACAATCCCCACCCTCATCCCGGCTACGCCGCAATTCCCACCCATCACCACCGATGGCGGACCAAGGGTGGCAAAGGAGGCCGCTAGGCCGCAAAAAGGAAAGTGGTGTGGCCCTTAGTAAAGCACCATTACCACCACACCTAGCACCTCCAACAACAAACCATGAAGTTGCAGAAGCCTAGATGGGCAGCCGCGTAGCGGCTGCCGGTAAGCCATACCATTAGTAACACAGTTACGGGACCTACAGGGATGAAAAGTCCGAACGTTCAGGAGGGAGCAATGGCGCTCGTGGCGCTTGCTAGACTACTTTCTGAACTGAAGTTTGAGACATATGAGATACTTCTAGAGTACTTATTTTTTAAAAAAAGCTTGAAAGATAGGATGGCTGTGCCGTATCATAGCCTACTCAGTAGCTAGTACGGTACGGTAGCTTAGCTGTGTCAGCAGCAATGACACAGCTAGCTAGGTGCGACCGGTAGAACTCAGGCCTCAACATCAAGTTGCTCTGCTCCTACCAAGCTGGGTGCTTTGCCATCACCCACAGAAGCAGTGATGGGATCTTCGGCATCTCCCCTACTACTGCAGTCAGCCTCACGATCCAACTCATCGTTGCTGTTTCCAGTGACGGCGTCTTCAGCATCTTCTCCGCTACTACTGCAGTCAGCCTCCAAAATATCGTTGCTGCTCCCAGTGCTTTGCACAACGTACCGTCGATTGACCTCATCAGTCTTGCTCCAGTACCGTACGGTACATACAGTATAATGGACCTGCCCCGGGGGTGAAAAGCCCAAGAGAGCACAATGCTCTTTGTTGGAAGCGCCACTCAACGTTGGCTCTTTTTCATTGTGAGCAAATTCATTTGAGCACACACAGTCTGGCTGCATGCTCGGTCCAGTGTTTAGACCCCAGTATGTAGTCCTGGATTGGTGAATTATTAGTTAGCAGTTTTCCATAGAGAGGATCCTCGATACCTTTGGAAGAAAACGACAGCTATACAAACACTCTACGGAAACCGGCGAAAGGCCAGGCTTAGGCAAAGTAGCCGGAGGCCGTGGGATCAGGGACAACCAAATTGAGGACCAACACGGGGACCAAAGTGACAGAAGCAATTTAATTAATATGCGGAGGAGCATTACTAGCTTTGGGAGGTACAGATGTATGCATACACTGACTTGGGGCTTTTTTTGGCTGATTCCTTGGATTGGACTTTCTCTGCTTACTGCTTGCCTGACCCCAAGACAGTGCTAAGTATAAAGTAAAGTGAAAGTGTCGGGGTTGCGTTTTGCCAAAGGGTCAACCAATCCTCAGAAGAGGCGTTTGCCTTTGTGCAGTCAACCAACTTTGTCCAGGAACGGCAAGGCTACCGTATGCATACCATGCATACAACCCATGACGAAACCAAACAATCACGACCCGAGGATCCACAAGACTACAAACACCCCAACAAAAACTGAGAGCGAAATGCACAATCGCAGGGGATCTTTCATGCAGCAATCACGTAAGAGTTCCTGATGGCTCATTGCAACCGGTCGCTCTGGAATCAAATCGTTGGTCGGGTGTTGGGGTGCCCTGCCGTTGTGGTATGGCACTTGCGACAGCATTTCTTCTGCGATCTCTGAGCTGTAATGCGCATGCTGGCAGGCGGAACATGCAAAGCCACCGCCAACATTATGTTGTATGCTCTCAATGCGAGCAGTGCCACTACCTCGCGCGGACAAGAAAGCCCCCAATTCATTGAATTTATCACCAGCAGCCGCCGCGGCAGCAGTGCCGGCAACCGCTGCTACAGCAGCGTTGCTGTACTGGTTGGATTCACCTTCCGGGGCTTTGTCTGCAATGGCCACAACCGTCAAAGTACCTTGTGCCTTCGTCAGCATTCCAGCTGCTTCCATTGAGGACTTGCCAGCAACAGGCTCGCCGTTGATACTGTAAAGCACCATTCCTACGCCCAGAGCTGAGGCAGCAGCCAAGCCTCCTTCTTTGATCATAGTGACAACCAGCTTGTCCTCAACCTCAGACAAAGTCATACCCAACTGCATACCTGGAACCTTTGTCAACAAGGCTGTAATGTATTCCTTACTTTCTTCTCGAATGCTCTTGATCATCATTGCTCTAACCTTTGTCAACAAGGCTGAAATGTATTCGTTACTTTCTTCTCGAATGTTGTTGATCATCAGTGCTCTACCATCTCCATCTTCCAAGCGTAGGCCAACCTTTGTAGTGGGTGCTTTCTTCGAGCCTTCAACATTGGCAGTACGACGTGTCGACAGGGCACCCTCCAAGAAGTCACGAAGCTCTTCATTTCCTACTTTGCCTTCTTGTTGGAGTAGCAAAGTTTCTTGAATGAGAACTTCAAAAAGTGTGGTGTTGTCATGAAGTTGTTGCACTGCCATTGGATTCCGAGTGATGGGAGACACACCGTGCTCATGGATCCACTCAACGATGGCACTGCGTTCGTACGTGTTTCCTTCGTGGTCAATGACGGGATCCCGTAGAAGCTCTTGGGTGATGGGACAAGTGAAGAAATCAAGAAGATCTTTGGTACAAGAACCATCTTCCTGATCTTCCTGTGGCTGCTGCACGGCTTGCAGATAGCTCTTGAGCGCTCTATTGGGGTAGTAGATAGAGGTCTTTGTCATCTTCGCCGACAATGGCACTAAGCTCGTAGGATACTCCATTTGTTGGGTTCGCAACCGGGTCCACAAGCGGCTGTTCGGTCAGAGGACAGAGCGGAGGATGCCTTTGGGCGGTGATGCCTGCAGCATCAAGCTCGTCACAGTCCACGACACCAACCGAACCTAAAGTGCTTGCTGTCTCTTCAGGGTAACACCATGGGGGCTGGGGGATCCTAGTGGAAGTGTCTTGCGCTGTCGCGCGAGTGGTAACCTCTTGCTTCTTGCACGGTGCGCCCATGGTTACCTTTACCTCTCAAAGAATAGGTCCGACGGTGCAGTTGTAACGCTTCTGGCTGATCAAGATAGGTTCAGATCGTACACGTATCTTGGGGTGGTGATATGGAAAGCTGCTTGTCAGCAACGCAAGGTTAGGATGTGGATCGTTGGGAGAAGGGATGGTTCCGTGCCATCACGATCATTTTTCCTGCCAGGAACACGTCTGGGCTTCCAGGAACAGCAAAATACAGATGCTGTGGCGGGCGCTGATGGGCTCTACTAGTATCTTTTTAAAATCTGAGGTCTGCGATGCTGCGATGCATTGTCCAAAAGAACCGAATGATTCGATTCGATTCGATTTCTCATTCATCATTCAATCTCCTCATTGATCACCCGGCGTCCTTGAGTATGGTGTCAACCAATCGTGGAAGGTGGTGTCACCAGTCATCGATACCTTTAAATCTTTCAATCGTGTTTATCGCGCGGGTCATTCCTCCTTTCCGCAATTTCCGCCTCCGCAGCGGCCTCCGCAGCTCCACAGCAGCCTCCTCCGCACACGGCAACACCGAGCAAACACCATCAAACAGCACAGCATCAAGACATCAAGGCAAACAACAACAACCAAGCACGCTGAGAGGCCCAGGAAGGGTCTAGTTGGGGGTGTTGGGTGCTATAGAGCATGAAATCAGTGCTCATCAGTGGGTCAGTCTCTTTTCATCAACTGTTGTTTTTCATCTGGCAGAATCCGTCATCCCAAACATCTGGCAGAATCTGTCATCCCAATTTGGATGTCACCATGATGAGCTCACTTTTTTGTTCAACCGGATTGCTAGAGTTGCATACCCAACCGAACAAGGAAGACTTTCGCGATTGTTGATAAGCCAAGGCCAGATCAACCCCCCCCAGACCTTATTCAAGTCTACTTTTACCTTTTCAATCTTCTATTCAATACCTATCAATTGCAAAATGAAGTTCTCTTCTTCAATCATCAAGCTGCTCTCGTGGTCCATGACCACCCACAACAACAACAGCAGCAACACCAAGAAGACCCCCGTTCTCCAGGTCGCCAAGGAGATTATGGGCAACAACAACAAGGATGTTCCTGTGACAGAGGAAGTCCCTACGTTCCAACTGGATGAGTTGGACAAGACACTCGTCGAAACCGCGGCACTGTTGCACACGTATGGAACGAGTCCTGATGTGGAGTTCCAGCAGCACGGTCGCTACCTAGGTGCCTACGACCTTTCCCTGGTTCCTTCGGATCAGCATGGTCACTACGGATACGACAACAACCAGCACCGGCCCAAGGGCTGTCGCATCAAAACCAGTCAATCAGCCAACGCTCGCTGGAAGACCCATTACGGTCAAGACACCGAACGGAGCAATGGAAACCGTTTATCCTTTGCTCCCGTCAACACTGTAGTGGGGTACTCTTCGGACAAGAGCGAGCAAGAGGAAAACAGCCGTATCTATCGAGACATGAAGAAACATGTGCCACAGGCAACAATTGAATTCTGGCAGGAAGCCCAACAACAATTCACTTCCGTCGGCACACAGACACCCCACGAACGCGTCTTGGATCTCGTCCAGTTGATTCAAGAGTACGGATACCAACAAGTGGCCAAATGGATCACCAACAACCTATGGTTCCAAAGCGACAAAGCGTACCTACAAAAAGCCAAACTGTACATTCAAATTGATGCCGTGCATCAAGACCTCGAGGGACTTGTTCGTTTCATCCAGGCAAAGAAAGGAAACGACAAGCAAGTCTCGCACTGGTTCATGGTCAACAAAAAGAACCCTTACATGTTCGAACTCGCCATGTGCCACTTGCACCACGGAGGAATTCAGCGCAACGCTGACGACGAAATTTGCACCTTGAATACGCGAGAACAGATTGCCAAACGACGATTTGTCTATCGCAAGGTCAAGGATGTCTGCATGGAAGATGCAGCACCCGTAGTAGTAGAAGAACAACAACCAACAACAACTAAAGACGTCGAGGCAATAGAAAAAGTCTCAACCGTCGATGACGACAACAAGATGGCATCCGATGCCACAATCACATGTGAAGCAGCGGTTCCCACGTGCACAGCAGTGGCCCCCACGTGCACAGCAGTGGTCCCATATGTTCAAAAGTGGCATGTGAAACACTTCAAGATCAGTGTGCATGGACTACAACCATTTGTATTGGAGATGCAAATGATGAATGGTGTGCTACTTGGAGTGGTACCCAACGACATTCTCGCAGCCTTGATGAAGGATGGTGGAGACCTTGTCAAGGAAATGATGCGGCGGCACAAGACACTACGATTGGAGGCAGGCGTTGCCTCGGGCGATACGGATTTCGAATTCGTGACTGGCGACGAAGTGGTAGCTGAAGAACCACTGGTCGAGGAACAACAACAAGTCGATGCTGATGAACCACTGGTCGACAACCAAGTCGACGAGGACGACAATGTGGACACAGCACGATCAACATTGCGACGATCAAAGAGACGCATGGCGGCGATTGCATCTCAGAGGATCTCAGAACAAATCAAGACGAAACCACAGCGGGTGGCAGTTCAACAACCTAGAAATATTAAACGTAGACGAGCGGCGGCCACCAAGAAGAAGTCGACAAAGCCAAAGGCGAAGGGCAAGAAGAAGAAGAAGACGATGACACAACCTGTGACGGACACACAGCAGCAAACAACAGTTCAGACAACAACAACTCTTTCTGGACGGCAAGTCAGAAAGCCTGACCGGTACATTCCAGTCTAGGACAACAGGTAAGTGGGGCGGCGACGACGGATTGTGGGGACTACTAACACATGAATACAATACACAATGAGCAAGCATCTGGTGGGGTGCAGGGCTATACAACAATTTTGCGGAGATGAATACAGTTGGTTCAATTGAAGGGTCACATCGAAGGTAGCCAGGTTTGTGGTTCCTGTGCTAGGCAGCCTCTATTGCAGAGTGCTTGTCCGAACGTCCTCCACGCGACGAAAGTCCAAAGTTAATACCCGTGACACCCGACAACCAACCTCTATCATTGTTGATGCTACAATCAACCAAACATAAACATAGAACTATAACACATATAGTAGACAATCTTTACAACCAACAAAAATCATGGCTTCATTTTTTATAGTAGTGGTAGTCGTACCAGTAGTTCCACTTCGTAATCATAGTAGTGTCATCAGATGGCGTGCGTCATTGGACCTGCCCCTCGTCTAATCTCCGTTTGCGGCAGTGTGGCATGGGATGAAAAAGTCAAACAACCGAAAAGTTACCACAGAGTGAAAGCTCGTGTTTTAGCGATTTGGCAGTTTGTGCTGATCGTGAGTAAAACTACTTTTATAATTCTGTCACTTTTTGCTAAAATCGTATGAGCATGGTAGATCACCGTGAGTGGATGCCGAGCACCCGTACCGATATTTAGCTAGCCACGGTATCTACTGCCGCCTGAGAATGCCGATAAATGAATGTACTGTGGTTGATCACACGTTTCTCTTTTTTATTATGCCAACCACAAGCATTTGCGCCTCCCAAAGGCGCAAACACCATGGGTTGTTTCCTATAACGTGTAATCGGGTCAAGACCGTAGTCACGGTCCGATCCTATCTCGACCGTAGCCAATCTAGGGTTTTCGGTGTCGCCTTTTTGGTGCCTTCCTGCATGCCGCTTCTCGATCATCATCATGTCTCTGCCGTTTCGGTGGACGCCGTCAATGTTGTTGTGGCATCTAATGTTGCATAAATCCCATTTGCATACTTGGCAACGGTCATGGCTTGATGTAAGATTTCGGGCAATCGCGTATCCAACGCGTGTTGAATGGTTGCCGCCGTTTTGCCTTGCAGCGCTTCCTGTCGTACCCATCGCAAGAGTCGATCGTGAATATCGGAACTGCTAATGTATGTGACCCCCTCGACGCGACTTTCCATGATGGATTCCAAAAAGAAGGGTCGGGGACAGAGGGCACAGAGATGGGTGGGTGTCGTCATTTGACTGGCAATCAATTGTCGCACCGTGTTGAGTGTATCGGCCGTGTTGCGTTCGTAGACCAAAAAGGGAATGCCCTCGAGGGATCCGTATTCTTTGAGCGCATCGGCTCGATCCATGACTTGATAATTGCCGTGTTCGACCAATTCAGCTTGAATGGAGAGGAACCAATCCCGTCGGGGTGTTTCCAAGATGACGGGTTTTCGTCCTCGTCGTTGTTGGGTAGTACTTCTAGTCCCTAATAATAATTGGGTCCAGGACGATGATGTGGACGGTTGTTGCTGTTGCTGATTGTAAAATTGTTCCAACCACCCCTTCATGCTAAAGACGAGTGGATCCCGTGCATCGACAATGACATCGGCCAATCCTAGTTCGGTGGCATGTTCTCGCACGGTCATTTGTCGTCCTCCACCCGATTGATATTTGGCATCGGTGTCGACCAAGAGAATCCGAATAGTGTCAAAGGCATCATCACCCGTGTTCTTGTTGTTGATCACCAGCGACTGGACTTGTGTAAATCCTTGTGCAACTTCGTACAAATCCAAATCAAAGTCGTCGACGCCCACTTGCCGTAACGACATGGCGGTATTGTCGCCGGGTGTCGCGTCGGCTTCCAATATCAAGAGTCGTCGTGGCGGTTGTGTATTGTCGTTGTTGTCGTCTGATGGTGTTGGTTGTGTAGTAGTAGTAGTAGTAAACAACCAACTAAAGGGCACCGACATGCCTCGCCAAGAGGATTTGTGAGAATATCCTCCATCCCGACAATGCCAAAAGACGGGAACCCGGGGTGGTGGTTTTTTACTGGTCAAGTGCGATTGTTCCTCGGAGCTCAGAGCGAGTGCATGATCATTGACCAGAGATACAATATCGGGATGTTTTGGATTTTCGACAATGGGGAAAAAGTGCCGTCGTCCTTCTCGGGCCATGGTCAAGTTGCAGAGCAAACTGGCTTGTCCTTGGAGTCGAATGACGACCCCTTGTCGGGTGAAATCTTCCAGAGGCGGTTCTCGCCCGAGACGAATGCGATTGACATAGGCCGTCCGAGTTTGTCCCAAAACATCCATAATGGCCAAGACTTGGGATAAAATGACGGATCCTGCCAATGCGCCTCGAATGGCCCGAAGTCGATTGATCATGAGATGCCGTTGGGGCGGTGCCGAACAGGGGGAACTGTAGAAATTTTCTCGTGGGAGTCCCAGGACTTGTGCAATCACACCGGTTGGTTGGGATTCCTAATCAGTATCAACATAAGTCAACGATTGAGAGACTAAGAATCCCACAGATGTGCTTCGCAGTTATAAAGGTGCCTTCCTTTGACTCGTCAATTACCTTACCTGTATGACAGAGGGAATAATCTGCGTCAAGGAATATCGGCCCACAAACCAGAGTCGTTGAAAGGTCGTCAGTCGCACCGCCGAAGCACCGAGATTCTTACTGGGTTTGATGCACAACCATCCTTCAAAGCCTCCCAACACGGCCACGGCGCCAGCTCCTGCCATTAATGTATACAGGGTCCCTCCTGCCATGCGACTGCGACCTTCCGCGATGGTACGACGAATCTGACTCCAACGTTCTTCGGACGTCATGGCGCCAGAAGAAGGAGGAGCAGGCGTTGATGTCATGGTGATGCCTTTGCTAGCTAGCTACTACCTATAGATAGATAGCTGATGGCTCGGTTGTGAGTTCCGAGAGGATTCTCAATTGTGGCATGTGGAGTGTGAATCGATCAAACGTTGGTGAGCGAGAGCCAATTTTGTCAGAAGATTGGGGCGATAATGGTCATCTGACGCGTCAATAATGACCTTTAAACCTCAAAAATGACTGGTACAGTACCAGACATGGATACCAAAAAGTTGTCTAATTTAACCCTTATTTTAAGATAACGAGAGCATGCTGGTACATCGTATTGACAAGCGCTGCCGACAGAAGGCTCAGTAAAAGATACCGTCCGTAGGCACTGAGAGGAAAGAGCAGGCAGACGAAAGAAGTGAAATAACCCTCGAATTGGAAGGAGATACAGGCTTAGCAGGTACTGCCGCCAACACAAAAAGCACATGGTGCAGGTTGTGCCAGTAGAGTTCAACAAGCAAGCAAACGGTTCATTTGTGCCAATTCATACAGCAAAAGTACCCAACAAGGAGCGAGGACCGAATCACGTCGTGGACATTCTAGCTGGCTATCTATCTAGTCTGTAGCTTGCTGATGGATCTGTACGAGGCAGCAACAGCAACGGCCATTACAAGGATGAAACAAAAGCTATTGGCTCGACAAGCAAGAAGCAAGATCCGCAGTGGCCGTCACTATGATACTTGTGGCTGGGCTGAATTCTTGTCTCCGCCAGTATCACTGCCAGCGTTCGAAGAATACTTCTCGGACGCACTCCAAAGATAGGACAATCGGATCATTTGATCGAGGCGAAGTTCGACCGAAGCACCATGGCGCACAAAAAGTCAACCATGCTAGCTACCGGTACTACATCCATTGGCTTGAGGATGCAACAAGAGACGCACCTGCCTCCCGAGCAGGATGAAACTTGCTTTGAAGGACCACCCCACAGTACCGTATTCCGTACTGAGGCAGAGTACAAGAATGAACCAGACGACCGAGCCTACCGATACCGGTAGTAAAAGTGGCAACAGACGGTTAGAAGACGACGGTGCTTTACCTGATACAAGTACGTGTACCGGTTGTCGAAGCAGCCAGCTGCTCGAGTAGCTGTACTACCAATAATATGGTAATAGCTGATACCGGTACCTGGTCTCTCCAAAAGTAGCTCCATTGGGCAACTCGACTGTCTCGACTCGACTCATCAACGATCATCAAAATGTCCAAGATTTGGGGAGTTCACGTGAGCATATGCATTGAGTGAAATTTAATTAACGATTGCTTTCTTTGCTATTTGTCCTAAGGCAACTCCCGGCTATAGTGGTCAAATTACGTGCTCGTACATATTCAAGTGTCCCTCTAGAACGATAATTCTGGAGAGTCTCCGTCTAAATCCAAAAGAGTCAACATAGTCCCGTTTCAAACTTCAGGTTTAAAAGTGATGGAAAGCAGGCCATAGAGGACAAAGGACATCCAAAAGGACTTGTTTGCCTCATCAGCTTTCCTTTGTGACATAGCAGATTCGATGCAATATCTATCTATGCAATCCACCGGTGGTACCTCATGCCTACAAGAATCCCCAACGAAAGATTGACTCCAATTTCCTGGCCCAGAGATCTCACAAAAAAAGTATCTATTGAGAAGCAACTCAAGCCCAGGCAAGCCCAAGCAACCAGACACGAACTAACTACTGATACCTCCTTTCATCATGGACAACACTGATGATCCAAAAACAAGTGATGAGGACCACCTCATGCTTGTTGTGGCCTCCCGAGCGGAGGAAGCGGCACGACAGCTAGCTCCAGTAAACCCTTCGCCCGTTGAGCAGACAGATAAGGCAGCAGAAGTGGAGGCAGAAGATGACTTGATGAATATTGTGGCCAAACGGGCTGAAAATGCCCGCCAGGAAATTCTAGCTGATGAATCAGAGAACCTGGACTCATCAATGGCCAATGAGACCACTGAATATACCACGGAAGAGACACTGGATGACGAGACACCGGGTGACGAGAAAGTGGAGGCAGAAGATGACTTGATGGATATTGTGGCCAAACGGGCTGAGAATGCTCGCCGGGAAATTTTACTTGACGAATCAGAGAACCAGGACTCATCAATGGCCAATGAGACCACTGAATATACCACGGAAGAGACACTGGATGACGAGAAAGTCTTGGGAGAAGGACCAGAACAAATCCCAGAGCAACATGTACCAGGAATGGCTGCACCCAGGCTCGTTGTACCCCTCACAAATCCTGCTTCCCGTCAACAAGCCAGAGCACCACCGTCCCGGCCAGGGGCCTTTGCTTTGGGGCCAAATATGCGCAACGTGCCAACACAGCCTGATTCAGAGCAGTCAATATCATCATCAGGTGATGAAAACCCTCTCTCCAGTGATGATGGACTTGTCGAGGCAAGGATGGTGGAGGGTACTCCGGATTTGGAAGCGGCAACCCCGGTGGATCCGGATGCTCTGGAACAAAGGAACCAAAGGATCCAAAAGCAGAGGACAAAGCATATTCTTGTGTTCATCCTGATTCTCTGTTTAGCTGTTGCGATTGCCATTGGGTTCTCCATTGGTGCAAAAAACAGTTCGACCATGACCATGTCACCTACAATGGTACCCTCCTCGCTGCCCTCTATGGCCCCTACAAATGCACCATCGGATGCACCCACTATCATTGCTGATTACTTCCAACAAAGTCTTCCTGTTTATTCCCAGAAGAGCCTCCAGAACTACAGCACGCCGCAGTGGGAGGCGTTCCAATGGCTTATTCATCATGACAAGTTTGCAGATTTTGAAGACTGGAAAAGGAAGCAGCTCTTTGCTCTTGTGACCATTTTCTATGCCCTAGAGGGACCTTCTTGGACCAAAGCCATGGGCGATACATGGTTGGATTACGAAAAAGACGAATGCTACTGGTTTTCCAGTGAATTTGGTGGGATTGTAGTACGCGAGAACGAATTGTATGAAGTTGGACAGTACGTGGAACATGAGGTCTATGGCATTGAACCTTGCGACCAGAATGGTGAATACCACTCCTTGTTTGTGTCAGGCAGAATGTACAAAGATAAGGATTTGCTCGGAAACATCCACATGCCTGCTGAAATTGAACTGTTGACAAATCTGAGAAACTTGCATTTGGCCTTCAATGCATCCATCAGTGCATCGTCACTGTTTCCGTCTACAATTTTCAGAATGGCCCACCTGAGGGCTCTTGAGTACGCAGAGTGGGGATTGGTAGGCGGCATCCCAAGTGAGCTGGGTTTGATGAGTGAGCTGAAGACCTTAAATCTCCGGTACAATCGCCTTTCAGGCACGATCCCCACTGAAATTCGGATGGATAGTCTGGAACGTCTGATGTTATCATACAACCTTTTTTCTGCATCTATTCCGACCGAGATTGGATTGGCCAACAAATTGAAATCGCTCAGCATTATGAGAAGCTCACTTGTTGGGACTTTGCCCAGTGAACTTGGACTCTTGACTGGTCTCACAGCCCTAAAGTTGAATGAGAACCAGTATTTATCCGGATCTATTCCAACTGAGATTGGGTTGCTTTCCCATTTGGAGGAGCTTCGTCTTTACTACACTGACCTCACAGGAAGAATTCCCACAGAGTTTGGTGCTTTGAACCAAATGACAAGACTGATGGCTTTTCGAAATTCTCTATCAGGAGCCTTGCCATCTCAGTTGGGAGTTATGGTAAACCTCCACACCCTGAGCATGGAAGAAAATCGTTTCACTGGGACCGTTCCGTCGGAACTAGGATTGCTGAGAAATTGGTCTTCATTCTTCTCCCGTTTTTTTCTTCATGACAATGCTCTGACTGGGACTCTTCCAACGGAGCTCGGCCTGATGACAAATGTCACAGAATTCAGAATTGAGAAAAACTCTTTATCGGGCCAGATTCCGAGCGAATTGGCATCATTGAGCAGACTCTCAAACCTTTATTTTTCACACAACAACTTCTCAGGCTCAGTTCCCTCTGAGTATGGGCTCTTTGGAAACTTGGAGAGGCTGCAGTTGGAAGAATTGCCCCTACTAAGCAATTCTCTTCCAACCGAGCTCTCTATGGTGACAACTTTGGGAGTTTTGAACATCAGTGGAACTGGCATTGAGGGAATCATTCCTCCTGGGCTGTGCCACTTCCAGAACTCGTCCTGTTCTTTTGGAAGTGACCCAAATTTAGTATTGATCTTCCCTGACCTGTTTCGTTGCCACCTTGTTTTCGAATGCACCGATAGCCTTTGTGGGTGTGATTGTCCTTGCTTGGAAGAAAATGGTGAAACCTAACCAGAATGGCAGGGAGACTCGGAGACCCAAGTCGAAGCAGTTGGAGATTGGATGAGGAGGACTGGTACCACGAGACACAGCACTCGCACCTGACCTTCTCTTGAGTGTTTTACATGCACAAGTACTTAGTTTAGTTTCAGTATTACATTTTCCATAATTTTGACTACAAGAGCAGCGTCTCCCCACGAACCGAGCAGAAGGCAAAGTGTGCTCAGGAAAACAAACTTTCGGCAGCATCGATCACCTCAAAGCTCATATCACATGAATCTAAATGGAGTGGAGGATGGACATCGCAATATTTGGGCTCCATCAGGGATTGCAGCCGTTCATGCTGTGGGTTGTTCCAAAGTGACAACTTGTCAAAATACCATACCAACCTCCTGTTGATGGTGGGTCTGCCTGCGTAGTTGCTCTGGATTTCCCGCCAAGCATCTCTCGTTTCCACATGCCTCTTGGCGTACCAATGCATGCCTCGTTTCTGGGTGCTGTCATCCAAGTTGAAATAGAGAGCCTTGGCTTGGTCAAAGACCAAAGTGGAATGCAAGATGTTTACCACACGTCGGCCCTTGTCAAACACACTCAACACGGAGCCCTCGTCGACACCCTTGATGTTATCATCCATGCAGCAATCGTACAGACTGTACAGAAGTTGCAGACAAACTTTCCTGTCAGCATCCAACCTGTTTGCATTCAAATGCTTGCGTTGCTCCATGGGATCCTGGAGGGTTTCATCATTGTCATCCGCTAGCGCCATTGCCCATCCCTTTGCCAGCTCAGTCTGCTTGTTCAGATCAGGTCCCACTGCCATGAGCGCCTTTTGGAGACGGCCCATGCCTTCGAACACACTACGAGACTCAAACTCGGTGACAAAGTCTTCAGCAGTACGGTAGCACTTGATCCGTGCTAGGGCCTTGGCCTTCCACTCGTTGATTTCACGCTTTGGGCCTGCCAAGTCAAGACCGTAACCTTCCCCGTAGTTGAGGAGGAGCACAGGGACAGTACGCTTGGTTCCTGCGGAGAATAGATCGTTACCACCACTGTCGTCCTCTGAAAACGAGGAAAGTGGAGACCCCCTGCGTTTCTTGTGACTCCCAACACTCGCACCTCCTGCGAGGCTGACACTGTAGAATATCTTGAGGCAATGCTTCTGACGAGACTCGAGACTGGTACAGAGTTTTCCCTTGAGCGACTCGAATGTATGAACGGGCAAGTCAAACTCCGTGTAGTTCTTGGCGTTGACACCGGTCGGGACATCTAAAAAAGTTGTTTCGGTATGCAATAAGGCGGCACCAGAAGAAGAAATCTTGATGGATCCATCCTTTTCGTCGGCGCCGACGCCCAGTTTGCTCAGAATGGCAAGTGCCATATCTTGCGTGCTGGGATTGTTCAATGCCAAGTAGCCACTGACATCCATAGTGTTTGTTTGACTGTCCCAGTATGTTTCCATACCTTCTCGTAGGATCCGCAACAGTTTGTTCTCAAACGCCTTGGTACCGACTGGATACCTTTGATTTCCGGGCGATACAATCTGTGAACTCCAGTAGAATGGAAAGACGATGAACTTCTCCTGCGTTTTGACTGCCAACCCGGCATAGTACGACGGGCGGATTGCCGGGGACGGGGGAATGGAAGCTTGGGTGTTCATCATTATTGCTTTCTCTATCAACACTATTTGAGTGAGCGTTCGAAAGAATTGTGAGCTCGAGAGAGCTTGCATCCCTCATCAGAGCGTTCAAGCCAGAATCGAATCATTGACAATGATTGCATCGCGTCGAATCATTCACAATCATTTCGGGGATACCGTACAAGACAAGTAAGTGAGTGGTGCAGTCGTGATTGGAAACGTGGCTCCGAGACGACGACCAAAGTAAAGATGATGTACCACAGGGTACCGTAGTCGGAGAAAGACGCACACCTCCCTGTCTGTCACTGACTCATTGAACAAAGATTTTTTCTTCCACTCTGACTGAATGAATCATCGTCATAAAGCACAACAACGACGTAGTCTGTTGGATGCTGCAAGGGATGATTGAGCTCATAACGGTGGTACCTTTAGAAGTAGACTTCACAATGAGCACGGAAGCATGAGACCAGTTATCAGAATTCCAGCGCTGCTTACAATTGTATTGGCATTGTTATCATGCTCTGAAAGCTCCGCTTTTGTCCAAAGAGGATCGTCGTCATGTCAGAAACTACAAATCTCAAGACCTCATGGAAGCTTCATATCTCCGCCTTTTGCCACGTCGAACAATGATGATCAAGAGGATGACCCCACACTACCGCCCATCTCCTTATTCAACGACAATGACTCTGTCATTCCGTGGGAATCCATTGCCATGATTGGGCTACCCTTTGTGAGTGCTATCTTTCCCTTTTTACTGCAGGAAGCCCGGTCGTTACCGCCCAACTCGGCCGAACAACTACAGGTGGTGACCGCCTTGTTCGTCTCCAACCGAGCCTATCTCTATGCCAATGCCGCCGTCATTGTAGCGCTGGCAGCCATGCGAGGTTCCACATTTGACAGTCTCAAGTTGGGACAGAGGATCACAGATTTGACCGAAGAGTTGTTGTACCGACCCGATTTGACATTGACAGCAGTCCAAAAAGACAAGAATTTAATGGAAGATCCCTCATTACAGCAAGAAGAACCAGCAACGAAAAAGCCAGAATTGATTCAGTCACTGGCAAGCAGTGGGATACAGGAATCACTGGATCAAGTTTCTACAGATCGACAAGCGCTCCTCTTGCCCATTCTCGTGTCGGGTCTACTGGCGGTGTCTGTATTCTTGGTACCTTTTTGGAACCTCACACCGCCAACAACAGCTTTAGAAGCTGCAGCAGACGACAATGCCCTGGCCGACTTGCTGAAAAGCACCTTGCCGTACGTGACGCAGGTCTGGAATGCGGGCATCTTGACACTCTTTACCAAAGCCGAACTACGACGGCTTCAAAATGAATTATTAAATGCATTGCCATCATCATCCTCGGCTGCCGCCTTGGAATGGGGATTGGCCGCGGGGATTACCGGCGTCGCCTTCTTTTCACCCCTTTGGCCGGCGCAAAATTTTGTCAACATGGCCATTGCCATTGCCGTAGCACGAGCCATTCAACTCGACAAGTTTGTCGCCGTGGTAGGAGCCCTCGGTCTCTTGACACTCTACGATGCCTCATCCGTCTTTTTGATTCCCTCGGCGGGTGCTTTGGATACTGATTCTATAATTGCTGCGGCTTCTACAAGTACCAATGTACTGGCGGGTAGTGGAATTGGCGACTCGGCCATGGGATCCGTGGCACTGCAAAAGTTAACATCTGGTACCTTTCAACCTGGAATGCTGGTGACCAAAATCGATGATCGATTTCTCGGCGGATCACTGGGGCTGGGAGATGCCGTCTTTCCATCCTTGCTGGCAACCCTGGTCCGACGATTTGATAATGATCAGCAAACAAGCGACAATTCAAAAAGACTATCACTCTCTGCCGTCTCCTTGGTCGGCTTTTTGCTGGGATGCACAGCGTGTGAATTTGTCCCATCGGCAACCGGGTTACCAGCTCTGGTATTTATCATTCCCATCATGTTGGGCTCGGTCCTGACCGCTGCTTTCGCAAACGGAGAAGTGGATGCGCTGTGGAACTACGAACCAAGTGCAGTAGTGGAGACAGAGGGATCCTAGAATGAGAGAGACAGGGTGCTAAAGTGCGACTCCTAGCTAGAGATATAGCTACAGAACGCCACAAAAGGTGTAGGATTTGCAAGGAACAACTTGTCTACCGTATTTGGTCATGCTAAAGCAAACTACTCAAAGAACTGCCACGTTAACGGTGAACCGTCAAGAAATAAATGAAACAAGGTGGATGCTGGTAGCCCATACAACGACAATAGCCGGCTGATTCGGGAAAGTTGGCGCATGGATCGCAGCGCATGACAGCGTCAAACGCCATGTCTCAGACATCGTTCGTGCTCTCTGCCGACACCAAAAAATCAACTGGCATAACTTCTGCATCGATCGAAGGCTTTCACGTCGATTGAAAAGGATAGCATGCAGATAAAGTGCTTCAGGCAAGTTTGATGGACTCCCAATGCGAAACTTATTTTAAAAAAGCAACCTTGCACTCAACGCTCCGAGCCAGTCGTCCCATAGCGCCCAAGTAGGAGCGCGTATCGCAAAAGTCTGTGTTAGATGTTTTGCGTCACGAACAGCGCTCCAATGCGCTGGAATAGCAACACACCCTCTACAACCAGGTGCATCAGGGAAAGTAGGATTGACCGTCGTCTGCTGTCGTTTCGAGCGCACCGTTGCCGCCAGCATCGTGCCACCGAAGAACTACACCGTTTAGCCTTGCCAGAAGCCAAGCAATTGGAACGGCGTTGTAATCCGAGAAAATATCCCAGGGAACACCAGCGCCGCAGTTGCGCCTTTTCCTCCACAATAGACCACGGACACTGGAAGAGTGTTTGCCATAAGCAAAATTTTTGAAAGGGCGTGGCAATGATGCCCTCTTGCTTTGCCCTTTGGTTGGTCTGCGTAGCTACGATTTGAGGAAGCTCACAGGCCTGCCTGCATTTATTTGTGCTCCGAGTCCTGCTAGCTGTCCTGCTTCAGTTCCAAAGAGAAGAATATTTTTCATACTTTTTGCTTTTCAAATCCACCAGGAAGAACCTCTTGACAGCCTGTAACGCCGCACTTGACAAATCTTTTGACAGTGCACGGACTCCCCTGACATTCGGCAGTAAACACATGACTCCCATACCTCCATGTGTTTGCCAGTGCTGATTGAGAGGAGTAGCCTTTGTCAAAGCGGCATCCCAGTCGTTATGTGCACGTTGCAGTGTCTCAAAGGCACTGGGATTGTATGGCTTCAAAATCCAAGAAAGCAACCAATTTGGCTGTTTGGGTGCATCAGCTACTTTAGGGAGAAAGTCTTCCTCCGTCCAGATGCCCCCATCAGTATACCAAATTGGGTTCAAAGGCTGATCAGCCAACTTGCTAGAACTGGCCCAATCCTCTTCTTTGGTGAAGTATCCTCCATTGGACCACAAGGGTATCCCAGCATCATCAAAGTGAACAATTCGACCACAAAGGGCAAAGCGATGATCCTCGTGTGCACGCTGTAGTTCCCTTGTCATTTTGGGTTCTTCATCTTTTGGGTACAGAGCAACATCCGTTCCACCGAAGTTAGTCATAACACTCCCATAGGTGCCAGGGAAGTACTTGGCAAAGGAGTATGGTTCAGAAACTGTCTCTAATCCAATCCAGTACATTTCCTTGTCCCCATAGATATAATAGGCTTGCGCATATTGTCGAACATCGTTGCGTCCCATAAGCAGGCAAATTGCCCAGACTCCCAGCATTCGTTGACTCTTATCCAAAAGAGTCAATCCTGACTCCATGACATGCTCCGTTATGTAACTAGTCTTGCCATAATGGATGATGTCTTGTGCAGTTTTGGACAGCTCTGGTTGCACTGCTTGGGCCAAGGCCCCAGGGTCATAATAGCCCTTGAAGTTCAGAAACATGCGATCATGAAAGAACATGGCTCCTGTTTGTTGATACCCTTGCAAGGACCACAATGTGTCAGGTGATTGCAACAAGACGACATCAACATCTAGGTAAATGATCTGTGTTTCAGCCACAGCCAACAGTCCAAAGGGTTTTAGGTTCCATCCAGCTTTTAACTGGGCGGCATCCAAATTGAACCATTGACTCAGGTCCACAAATTGTATGTCGTGGGCACTCTGTTGTTGCTCCGGCAATGAGTCCAATATTTCTTGCCTAGACTTGGGTGTCAAATCCTTTTCATCCTGGAAGACAATTCGGATTGGAATCTGTGAATTGTGAATCACTCTTATGGAGTGTACCAGAGTCTTGAGATAAGCCAGTTGTGGATCACCAGCACAAATCATAATGGCTTTTGAGTTGGGTATTGGCTTGGGAAGTGTAGACATTGGCCATTCAGCATCTAAGAGTGGATTCCCCCTCAACCAAGGAGCTCTGGCATGGAATCGTTTTCGAAAGGCCAGCTGGCTGTTGTTGTCTCCATTGATATTGTCCAGGGACAGGTTATCTCTTCCCATTTGCAATAGTAGCCGTATTTCATCTCCATATTCTCGAAAGGCTTCCAGACTAATGTAACTCTCTTGCTGTTTTCCATTCTTGTCAGTGATTGAAATGAGTTCGTTGCTGTAATCTCGTGTACTAAGGGGTATTTGACCCTTTTGTACCAACTCTAGTGGAATGGTGTATTTAAGTTCTGGAACATCCCCATCCTTGCTTGATTGTTCTTGTTGTCGCAGTGCTGATTGGTAGGGGTAACGAGGAGTCGGGACTGTGGTCACACGTCGAAGTCCCAATTTGGCAAGTATGGCAACAGAGAGACAGATAAGGATCCTCTGAATCATTGAAGCACTGATCCTTTTCTGCAGTTTCTCCAGACCAGAAGAGGAATCCACTCCCAATGGCTTCAGTCTGCTACTACTGCTACCATTAGTAGCGAGATGTTGCTGTGCCTTGACGTTTGCTCGTCTCATGGCGGCAAAAAGCGAAGAGAACTAGACTGTGCGCCGACCTCGATTGCTGCTACTTGTGCCAGTTGCTCTATGTCCATACAAAAGATGTATCTGCTCTAACAGTGCTTCGTCGGCTATTTTGGGGATGCTGTCGTCTTGCCATATCCTGACCGTTGTGTTGCCTCTTGCCTCTTGGATACACATCTTCTTCCAAACTAAAATAATAATGCATGGCCTTTTACGGTAAAAAGTATGTGGTAGCTAGTTATGGAACTATGGTGCAATGAAGCGGTGGCTGTATCGGTTAGACTGCGATGGAGCCAACGAGGCATCGGGCGTGGAGCACTAAAATTAATGCTTAATAGAAAGGGATGATTGAGAAAGGTGTGGTTACAAGGAGGCAAGGGTACCGGCACGGCAGTGGAACGCAGGGTGCGTTGAGACGAGTCTTTGTAGTGCTGCTGTAGCTAGACCTAATCATTTCATTTCCTCAAATCCTATTCATCGCTCCCAGACACACTATGTGCTTGATATCCCTCTTTTTTGGGTATCAATCCCTGTTGAATCATAGTATGCGCCGTATCCAGAACCATTTCCGTGGCATTGGTGCGATAGGTCATTCCTAGGACCTCGATGGATTTGATATTGTCATAGTTTTCCCCTACACCCAACGTTTGGGACATGACTGCCATCTCGCTATCAAACAAGGAGACAATCCATAACACCCACTTTGGAATATGCCACGTAGAAATGGGATACCCCATGGGACCGAAATGCTCCTTGAGAATGGCAGCAATTTCAGGAAAATAGATATCCCGTCCCTTCTTTCGTGTGAGTAAGAACCGTCTTCTCTGGTTAGCCCATCTGCTATCGGAGGGTGCCTCTTTTTGCATGGCAGCTCTAAAATGGGCCTCAACAACATCCCAGATATCAACCAGGGGAAAGCAACAACATCCCGGATATCAACCAGGGGAATGTAGAGATCAATCACACCAGGATATGTTCCGGTCATAATTTCATAAACAACTCGCTTGGAGCTAGTCACGGTATTGGACACCAAGGGCCCCAAGATGTAACTGGGTAGAAGACTTGAGAACCGAAAGTTGGGAGTATTCTTCTCAACAAATTCCCAGGCCGCAAGTTCGGTGGGTGTTTTCATCTTTGCATAGTCTGTCATAGCACCGGTCGAGGTGACATTGGTCCAATCGTCTTCGGTAAAGATATAATTGGGGTCCGCCTTGACAGGATTGTCAGAGTAACCAAAAACCATGGCGGCATCAGATCCTGTGTAAACCACTTGCGAGACACTCTCTTGTTGCGCCGCTGCTTGTAACAATAATGTCATGGACTGGACCGCCATGTCAATGGTCGCATCAGATTGTGGGAGATAATCGACAAAGGGTGCGGCCACATGAAAGATCCAGTCAATACCTCCCTTTAGCAAAGCTTGGTACACTTGGACTTCTCGTTCATTCAAATCCAAGGCGGCAATTTCCAAATGGGTTTCGGCGTTGGGAAAAGTACGGAGATAGGAAGCCTTGGATGGATCTCTCACAGTGGCTCTGACATGATGGCCTCGTTGCAACAGTTCCATAATAAGGTTGGATGCCACAAGCCCATTTCCACCGGTAACCAAGACAAAGGGCAAAGAGGAGGAATCTGTTGGGAAAGAGTCACAGGAGAAACAAGACTAAATGTTGGTGACTCAGTCGGGTCCATTGGATTTGGAGAATCCACAGAGAAATAGACATAATTTTGTTTTAATCTAGCTGAATTGATTGAAGCTGTGCTAGGAGTAGATAAGAGGACCATCCATAGGTATTGTAGTTGCCATATAGGCACTGGGACCTGGTTCCTCCCTAGTCACCACAACATTAAAACAAAATTACTATCGCGAGACAAGTGAGGCGATTGACTGCAGCCGGTCAGAAGGGCAATGAGTGCCAGTGAGCCCGGAGGCTCCGGTGGAACCGGTTCCTCGGGAGCCACGACGACCGGAGGTGACAGTATGTCTGGCATTACCAGCAACTCCGGTGGAAGGAGTGGAGGTCGTGGCAGGGGTGGACGTGCCGGAAGAGGACGTTTTGGAGGTTTTGGAGGCCGAAGATAGAGTGCCCCAGCCCCAAAGAAGTTTGCTGGAAGATCCACTACGCTTGAGGGTCACGTATATGACCTGTCCACACCGTCCGCAACTGCAGCAGCGTTCTATGATACGACCATGGAAATAGCTGAGTTCGTGGGCCGGACCTACACAAAAGGGAACTACACCAGGCTGGAAATTGAGTCTTTGAAACTCCAAGAATTGGTCAAGCCCACAGTGCCAACCGCAGCAGACGGAACCCCATCCACTGATGATGTGGACAAGGAAATGTTCAAACAGAAAGTGGAAGCGACTGAGCACAATGGGGGATGTTTCGGGTACGAAACGACCCTGATCCAAGCCGCACTACCAACAGGCACAACAATAAGCTGAAAGCGTTACAGTTCCTCCCACGACTCAGAGTATCCGTGAGTAGATTGAGTCATGTTTTATGAGTCAACACGATGGAACAGAGAACGCTGGCAAGAACACGGGGGGAAAAAAGAGAAGAGATGTCATGTGACAGTGTATGCCCTGAAATGTATTGGCAAATAGCCGTTGTGAAGCCTGTGACCACATTTGCAGTGTGTCCGCCTGATGAAATCCTTGCTTCGCGTCGGAGTCTTTGAAGAGCGCAGGAAGGAGTGTTCATCTCCAGTGTGATACTGTTTTGATACATCGGAGGGTCGGTAGGAACTGTCGGAGATCCTGGATTCGGATGAGCTTGATGAGAGCAGTTCCTGTCTGTAACCGGGTTGTGACATGAGGTTGCAGTTTGATCCAAGGGTGCCTGTGTTCGTCTTGGACGGTTCCTTTTTTTTGGTCCTGCCCTTTCGGCATCGTGATTTGGAAGAGGTGACATTAACAAACCCAGAGGAATTTGGAGTGCCGTCAGAGACAGGTGTTGTTGTAGGGATCGTGGCGGAGGATGTCGTTATTGTTTCAGGTGCGAGCGCAGCAGTAGTCTGTCTGTGCACTCGGCGTTGTCTGACAGTCTTGCGGATTCCATGGGTTGCTTTGATGTGGCGCATGGAAGGGTCTTCCGGGAAGTCAACCTCGTTTGGTGTCGCGAAACTGAGGTCAGTGTCGATATTGGCTCCAACGTCAGAAGATGGATCGAGTTGGAGTTGGAAATATCGAGCGCTAGCGTATCCGGATCATCAGCGGGTAACTCCGCAATAGGTGCTTCGTGGACGGGTAGCTTGTCTGTCCTGTTGTTAAGATTTGGCCAAGACTTGGCTTCAATGCTTTGTTGGCAGCTTGTCGTGTGGCGTTGACGATAGGCCATCAGAGTGTACTGCCATTTGCTGTAATTCGTGATGGAAATGGTGGAGCGATGAGTTGTGCCCCAACTGTCACAGGATGCGGTGGTCACCGTTAGGTTCTAGCTTGCTTCATGGCTGAAGGATGTAATGCGCCGTCCGACGTTCCAGGTAGTCGAGAAGTCACTGGTGAACCTCTTGTCGGTTTCGAGAGGTGGTGTGGTATTCTCCTTGTCATTAGATCCAGGCGGATATGGAAATTGCAGTTTGGTTATATCGTACTCAGAGTTAGCCTACGGATATCGTATGGGAGTGTAAACTTGTTAAAATAGACCCCATTAAGCTGTGATGGAAATGTCGTTGATCATTGGTTGTGTATGTATATGTTTGTCTCTCTCCATTCTGATCGAGTGCGGGGGATTGCGACGGATCCGCTGTTCGGTTGGGTACGTCGGAGGAGGTCCAGCGGGTCCGGTTCGTATTGGTGCAGCGAGGAGTTTTGGGTTTGCGCGCGAGCGAGTTCATCAGAGAAATATACGAAGAGTTGCCAATCAGTGGCAATCTCTGGCTCGCTGACAATATGCGCGAGTAGATCTCGTAGGAGACGATCAAACCTGGGCGGGGGAACTCGTGTACCGTCGGCGTGACCGTAATTGGTGCGGCTGGATAGACGGAGCTGCCTGCGATAGTCCACCGGGCGTATATGGAAAGTCGTTGGCGTTGTATGCGTCTTGTTGCACGCAAGCTGCAATAGGTCAGTGTCCGTCTTTGTGGACTTGGTTTGGTGCGAGGCCCCTTCTAGGTTGCCTGCCCGTTGCGTGGTTCTGCCCATGTGGAGGAGGTCGTGGGGGTTGACTGGGCGGGATGGGCGTGGTTGTCCAGAGTTGTGGTGACTATGTCGAACAGCTAGGTCAGTCGTGTAGTCAAGAAGGCTCTTCTTGCCCTGCTCGGAGATATTAGCCCATGCCTCTTGATCCGACTTGGACAACGCCCGCCATGTGGTTGCGTTCATCAAGACCTTGCGTGGACGCACGAGTGTTGGTCTGATGAGCTTGCAATAAGACTTCCACCGGTGTATCAATATCATGGACGAATACCTAATAGGTGTCGTCACAGGTTTCCGCTGTACCTTCGTCGAAGAGAATTTCGTTTTGGTAGGTGCGACGACGGGAGTTGCTTCGAGAGCGTGGTGACGTCGCATGATTTGCAATGTCATGCAGTTGTGCTTGCTCGAGAAGGGCTGTTCGGTACTGCTCGAGAGTAAACTGGGAGGTGTCGCCTGCAGGTTTCTTGGTCTGCATTGCGAGACGTCGTACGGGAGCGATATTTGGTGCCTTGGGAATTGAGCGTTCCAAGAAACGTGACCCCTGTTAGTCAGTGTACGGTTCGTCACTGGTCTCATTGTACTGCAGAAATTGTTCGAGGAAGTAGGAGATGAAACCAGCTTGAGACCCTCTCCATACACCTCCTGCGATATCGGCGGAGGAGAGTATGAACACGAAAGTCTATCCGAGCGGCAGGGTGTGCGAACCATGACTTGGAGTAAATATTCGTCAATGCCTTCGTCAGATCGCGCGAGTGTCCTTGCTGGTTTCGTGGGCAAGGACGACAGATCTTGCCTGTGCTTTTTGGAAGATGTCTTCGAAAGTCTTGTACATCCATTCTCTTTGTTTCTCGTCTAGTTCGACGTTGTGACCGTGAAGTCAGAATCAGTGAGGTGGGAGAGACCTTGAGACTTGAGCGGGTTGAGGAAGTTCTTCCTCCATTTGCTGAAAGAGGATTCGTCGCGAAACTCTCTGAACTCTGAGCGGACTGGCTTGTTGTTCTTGTCCTAAAGTGCGATTGCACGTTCCCCATTGGTCATCGTGGCATCGCTGCGTTTCATTTGTTGCCATGGGACTATTTCGCCGTGTGGCTGGAAAAGTCCAACTCTGAAAGCGTCGTGTGCGTCGGCCGTCAGTGACACGACGCGGATGGGTGCCATCCTCCTGGACGACCAATAGTGATACATATGTATCGCCGCAAGCAGTATCTTCTTCCTGGTGAGAGGAAATGGTCTTGCATTGCCGTTAGTGTCGTTGGAAGCTTGGAGAACCATAACTCATCTTATTGGTGAGAAGTTAGGAGATCCGATATCCATTCCGCGATTCTTGTTCATACAGGGCGATGCGCATGTGAGATGCAGTGTAGCCTGGGGTGGAAGCATCTACGCCGCATAGGGTGCATATGACATGCTTGAGCCTGGCTGCTTCATCCTGCCATCCTTGATGAAGTGTAGTGCAAGTGCGTAACTGCGACTAGTTAATTTGCTAACGTGGGGAAATACTACTTAAATAGAGGGATCTTGTAGAAGTAGCCACCACCCGACGAGATCAACTGCAACTATGTCAAGACGGTGCAAGGTAAATGCAAAGTTCGCTTCTAGTAATTCATAATCTGTGTTGTGACTTTGATTGATGCGATCAGTAAGCTGTTGTAGCGTGTTGATCAATACATCGTGGTAGTTGATACGGAAGTAAACGTGTATCTGCGGGAAACGTTTCGTTGGCAGGATCTTTACTCCTTCGAATACTCCAATTTACCGTGTCCTTTTTGGTTTCGTTGAGAAG